CTCCAACCGATACACATAATCAGTTTTCACTATACAGAAAAGATGAATCAGAAAAGGACTTAGAGACAAACCAGGAACTAACTTTTCTGGAGAGAATCAGTGTGGTGGCCTGGGGCAAAGCACAGCAGCAACACAGCCAGCTGATAGGTCCAACTCCCCTTTATTGCTCCAACTTTCCCCGCAAACGCTCCCACGTTTATGGCACGTCCCAGAGCAAAGTGCTCATACACACCTCCAGCAGCCTCTTGCTGTGAGTAGTCCAACAAAACGCTGTTAGCACAACGGCTTCAAGGCAAGAAGTCCAGCAAGGCAAAGAAACAAAGCAGCAAGAAGGCAAGAAGTCCAGCAAAATCCAGACGTCAGCAACGGCTCACAAAACTCTATGAATCCAGCGCTTGTTCCCAACAAGTGCCCCTCCCTACAGCATCTCTTTAAGTCTCAGTCCCCAGGTGTGCCTTGTGAAGAGGGGCGGGGTGCTCTCCTCCCGAGTCGTCAGGTCGGCCTGCACTGCTCCTCTCCACTCTCCATGCTCGGGGATCAGGAGGGGGCAGTCCTTGCTTGTCGTCTGAGCTCCGTCGCTCCTCATCTCCACTGCCTGCCCTTTCTTCACCCCTCTCTCAGTTCTCCTTCCCCCGTTTTTCCCTGCTGGCAAGCTGTCCAGGCCCAAGGGCCCCAGGGTTGCCTCATCCTGCTCTTCCCCACATTCCTCTGGAGCCGAGGCCACCCCCTCAACCTCTGTGGGCCCCAACTCTGGCTCGTCTTCCTCAGGCTCCAACAGGGCCATGGCAATTAGAAGATGTAGAAGATTACAGGTAGCCCTTGACTTACAACCAGTTACTTAGCAACCAATCAAACTTATCATGGATCTCCCCAGAACTACTTATGATCCAGTTATAAAGTTTCAACAGCTGCCTCCCCCTGTTGTGGCCCGCCAGTGGCCAACAGAGCTGGTGGCAGACTCAGATAATGAGGAGGTTGGAGAGAAGCATGGGCCAGTCCTGGAGTCTGGGGAAAGCTCTGATGAGTGCTCTTCGTCGGAGGCAGAGAGGGGGCCAGGGCCGTCCGACAGTTATCAGCTACCTTCGGAGCCAGATATCAGTGGGGCAGAAGAACAGCTGGACCCTGTTCCCAATGTGCGCATGTGCAGAGATGCCAGGAGAAAAGAACAGCTAAGGAACAAGGGCCGACTCAGGAGTAAAGGCACAGGTCGGCGGTGAATGGCCCCTCCCATAGGGAATAAAGAGGAGCAAAGGGGAGTGGAGTTTGCAGGAGACAATTGGTTCAATTCATTAGGGTGAAGATCTGTTCCTGACTTCTTGCCAAGTAATTTCTGCTACAGTGTGGCATTTGGAAGATATTGACCTGGCCACTCTCCAAGCCTGATAAAGGTCTGTAGCTGTGAAATCTCATGAAAGACTGTTTGCTGGGACTTTGCTGGAGAGGAATTCCCTTTAACCTAAATAAAAGAGATTTTATCGGGACGAGGAGTCTGCTTGGGAGGCCTAAGACAGAACACCCTCCCCCTTGCAGTGACATGATCACATTCTGGGTAATCGGCATCCCTCAGCGGCACGACTGCAATTGACTTTTTTTTTTTAAAGGAAACAGGCGTTTACTTCCAGTTTCTGGCAAAAAAACAAAACAAAATCGCCCATTGGGTTTAATGGGTTTACTTAATAACTGCAGCATTTGTTTAACCCCTGTGGCATTCGCTTAATGACCATCGCAAAAAAAGTTGCAAAATCAGATGCAGTCACATGGTAACTTACTTAAAGACCGCGACAATGTTTGAACATAATTCTGGGGTCAACTATGGTGATAGATCAAGGACTACCTGTCCTGTAAACTTAGTAAAGTCAGCATTCTAGTGCTTCCATTTAAACACTGCTCAATTATATAATGACATCAATTTCCTATGTGGCTCCCCTGCCATCATCCGTATCTCATCCCCAGCCTCTGAGTGAGGCAGCAGCCTTGAATTGCACTCATTTAAAATAGTATACTCTCCAGCGTTCATTAAATTTGGTTCAAAGACACTGAGCCTGAAAAGCTGACAGCCTGGGTTCGAGATCCGAGCTCTGAGCAACAGGATGAGCTCCCGTTACTTGCTCCAGCTCCTGTCCACCTAGCAGTTTGAAAGCATGCAAATGCAAGTAGATTAATAGATACCACTTCAGTGGGAAGATAACAGTATTCTATGTGCCTTTGGGATGTAGTCATGCTGGTCACATGATCACGGCCACATGACCACGGCCAAGAAATGGAGATTTTATTTATTTATTTATTTATTTATTTGTTTATTTATTTATTTATTTATTATTTATTTCATGTATTGATGATGATGATGATGATGATGATGATAATAATAATAAGCAAAAGCAGCGCTGGCTGGGGGATTCTGGGAGTTGAAGTCCACCCATCTTCAAGCTACCAAGGTTGAGAAACACTGGTATAGATAGAGGGATCATAGAACCAAAGAATTGGAAGGAGCTATTTAGGTCATCACATTCAACTCCCCAGGAATCCAAATTAAAGCATCTTTGCAAGATGCCTGTCTTGAACACCACTGATGAAAAGAAGTCCATCACCTCTCTAGCTGAATTGTTCTTATGGTTGGGATGTCTTTTCTACAATTTAACTGGAATGCACGTTGCTGTAATTTAAGTCCATTATTTTGTATCCTGCACTCTGGAATAATAGAGAACAGACCTCAATCTCCTTTCCTTTGTCATCTTTTCAGGCACGGAAAGTCATCTCTCTACTGATATATACTATATTCCCATATTATTATTTTTTTCCAATCTCTCTTGATAAGATTTACATTTTTTTTGTCCCTGTTCTTATTTATTATCCTTCTCCAAATCCATCTCAGTTCATCTTAAATCTTTGAGGTGGAATCTGTCCAGTGCAGAAACATTCATACGTACACACACACACAATTTGGAATTATTCTTCATTAATTCAGCCTAAAATTATGTTTGCCTCAGTAAATTGCATCAGGTTAGCCTGAGATTCTGGCTCCTGATTCCCTCTCCATTATGTCCCCATAACGAAAAAATAGATGACTTCAGGATGATCTAAATTTATCTCCTGTTTGTAGAATGTTTTAATTTTCCAAAAGGAAATACCTTTCCCCCCAAAAAAGAGAGTATAAGTCTATAGAGTTTGAGGGCTCCTTGAAATGCTCCAGTTCCAAAATGCTCCTGCAAGAGGTTGAATTGTTTATCCACAGGTTGTATATTTATGCATTTACTTACAGTAACATCTACACTATACATTTTCACAAAAGTAAACCCTCCTTCTTCAACCAGCTCTCCATTGTTGTAGGTCAGAAAAAAGAGAGCAGAGCTAAGAGGTATTCAGCTGCGCTGATCTCATGAGTCCGACATATAATATTATTAAAATAAACAGGAAAACACTGACTGTGCATTGTTTGCAATTTTGGATTGGGAAACGTTGCTAGATTTAATTCCAAACATTGTTTAATTTCATAAATCATGCTTATTTTCTATATTTGCATCCTGTTTCCTGGCTTTTCATACTTCCATCCACCTTGTTTAAGACCTTGGTTCCTATGTACCCTACCTCTGTTATGGACCTGTCCTTTGAGAAGCAGATAGCCCCAACGCCTACATCTGGCTGCCTCTATTCTAGCATGGTATGTTAGAGTCCCAGTTCCCATTTTGCCCTTGTCTTCAGTAGACTATCCAGATGCACCAAGATTCCTACATTTTTATTAACTGCATATAGTGAAAATTCAAAGAGGAGTTTTTCTCTTCTTCGAGCAAGAAATGGTACTTTTTGATTTATTAACAACAAAACAGCTAGCCCTTGTTAGTATCTAATTAACCCAACCCTAACCCTAAATTTGCATTTGCTTACCTGTACAAAATTACAGCACCATGCACATTATGCATTAATTGCAACTGATTGCAAGGTGTATTTAACAATCCAATCCCACCTGGTCTACTTTCTTTCAGCCACCAATGGGATTTTTTTTAAAAAAAAAATCAAGGATCGGTCTGACTGTAAACAGACAGACACATAATTGGCGTGCATTTGGAAAAGGGGACCATTGGAAATTTGTCACATTTGCTATTGGTAAACCGGACATTAGGAGGCAGCAAACAGTCCATTCTGTTGTCAAGAATGAAACTGCCATTTCCTGTCTGTCTGCTTGGAATGGAAATGAAAAAAGCAACTCCCGTTAAGAAAATCTTGGTTAATTCTAAAGAAGGAGACCTTTTATACGATATAGAATTCAGATGATATGTTTTGTAGATCGAAAAATTCCCTGGCTGGTTTTGGTGTATTTACAAAAATTCTGATACTAACACTTGATTTAAATGTTGCACATACATCAGTTTAGGATTAATTACCATATTGGATGTGATACCGTTATAATCTCACGCATGCATTATTTCTAGAGAAATACAAAAACAATGCTGACAAACCATTGAAAGAGCTATTTCAAATCTATTCCCGTTGTATGTATAAATAGCAATAGCATTGTATATATAAATACAGCAACCAAAAAGAAGAGGGTGTTTGTTTGTTTTTTAACCAGGTAGCATGTTTCACTCTTTGACTATGGAAAATGATAAAGCAAGGCTGAATAAACTAATCTGTAAACTTTGCAACATCACAATACCTTTAGAAGAACTGCTGCACAATACTGATAGTACAATATTCATTACAAAGAAACACGGTTCTTTACCAGATTTAAGCAACTGTCAGGACTACTACTAATCAAAGCATGAAAAACATCTACATGCTATTCTGAACTTTATTATTTTCGGCAAATTATTTTGCACTAACAACCACGTTTTCATGTTTATTCATCAGGACTATTACAACATCGCACAGTGTGTAATTAAAACCTCAAATCTCTGCATAACATAAACACAGTTTCCCAAATCCGGCAAATACAGCTGAACGTTTCATAGATCCAGTTGCTCAATAGGACTCAACTTAGACATGAAAACAATGCATAAACTTACTGTTGTGTTGTCTAGATGGTCAAACTGCCACACCGGGGAGGGAAAAAAAAAACCCGTTTCACAAAACTGCGAATCATTAGCAAATGGGAAAGAATATGTCCAGTTTTTAATCAAGTAACATTTTTTTTTCTTCAACCCAAACCATGAACGTGATAAGTAAATATGCAGATGATTTGGGAGGCTAAATCATAATGGAAAGATGCACCAGGAGTTGCCCTCTTTAAAGTCCAAAATATTAAGCCTTTGGAAGTCCAACTGATGAGGTCGGTCAGTCTTGCTTGTTAGATATGATATGCAAAAAAAAAAAAAAAAAAAAAGGGGGAGAGGATTGAAATCCAAAATAATTTTAAGGCTTTATCCAAATTCAAATTCTGCTTTTTTTTTTCCCCCTCTCTCTTTCTTTCCTCTCTTCTTTTATGTTTTTTTCCCCGTTCCCAGTTCTTTTTTTTCCTTCCCACAAAATGCATATCAGTTCGTTCTTCCCTTGTCCTGGATAAGGCCTGGTTTTGAAATGCATTACAGGCTCTCCTCCGCACAGGCAGCTTTCACTGCATGTCGAGTCCCACCAAGGCCCAGCATTAAAAGCCACCGGTTCTTTCTTTCTTTCTTTCTTTTTTCTCCCCTCCTTATTTCTTTAGCCTACCTCACAAAAGAAGGGTATTTTGTAAATTACCAGCTCGTTCAGATCAACAAAAGGTACTTTCATAGAAAGCCCCATTTGATTTTGCTCAAATTTGATTACAAGGATGGAGGGGGAAAAAAAGGAGAGGAAGTCAAAAAGAAAAACCCCAGATGGCTGTTTTCATTCATCTCCCTGAATGAGCTTTATCTGTGCCTTTTGAAACTGTAGCAGTGGAAAAAGCATTTCTGTTGGCTTAAAAAACTTGACAAAAATTATTGGTTTGCCATTTCTCATGTAACTGCCATTGGGAACTAGATGAAAAGGCTCCCTTTTTATTTCTTCCGCGGGATTGCCTGCTTGCATCAAAATAATGGAGATTAGGTATTTCATTATAAATTACAGTGGGAGATAGAGAGAGGCTGTCATATTAATAGCAACCTGCTCGTGGTCTTCAGTGGTAGCTATTCTCCCAAACAAAAGGACCAAGAGGGTTGTCTATTGAACTTGTGCTTTAAGGCCCGATCAATTTTCTATCATCAAGGCGAAAGGTGAGATCTGGAACAAAAGGCTTCACACATGAGTGACCTCGTGAGCCGAGAGATAAAACAGCTTAAAGAAACAAAACACATCCTGAAATTATGGGTGATAAACTGTAAAAAAACAGAAAAAAAATAGGGAGAAGGAGGAGGAGGAGGGAAAGAAAGAAAGAAAGAAAGACGGGGAGGGAACAAGGGTTGATCTATAATCCTTCCTTTTTCTAGGCACATGGACACATTAAAAGCTACTTGTTTTCAAGCACGGCATAATTGCAGCATTTGTTTCGCAAGGCTCTGCCTTGAATCTTGTGGTGTACTCCCTTCCTCAACAGGGTTCCAGTAATTTCATTCATGAGTAAGCATGCTATTGTGTATAATTCAGGATGCCTGAGAGCCATACCTATAAATATCCCCCATGCAAAGGGTTAACCGTCGGTGACAACTTTTCAGTTCTGGTTGCTGAGGGAGAAATTGTGTAGGATGGCCTTGGCGTTGGACAACACAAGTGGACAGACTAAGGGGTCACTTCCCATCCAACTTCACGAATGAATGCCTGTATTCCTGGGATCCTATCAATTCTGGAGCTCAGTGGATTCCCTATAAACTCTGTGAACCGCTTAAGGTAAAGGTAAAGATTCCCCTTACACATATGTGCTAGTTGTTCCTGACTCTAGGAGGCGGTGCTCATCTCCGTTTCAAAGCCAAAGAGCCAGTGCTGTCTGAAGACATCTCCATGGTCATGTGGCCGACATGACTAAACGCCAAAGGCACACGGAACGCTGTTATCTTCCCACCAAAGGTGGTCCCTATTTTTCTACTTGCATTTTTTACATGCTTTTGAACTGCTAGGTTGGCAGAAGTTGGGACAAGTAATGGGAGCTCACCCCGTTACACGGCACTAGGGATTCGAACCACTGAACTGCCGACCTTTCTATCGACAATCTCAGCGTCTTAGCCACTGAGCCACTGTAAACCGCTTAGAGAGGGCTGTAATGTACTGTAAAGCAGTATATAAGTCTAAGTGCTATTGCTATTGCTATATGAGGAAGTGTAGACCATCTCTAATTAAAATCTCTAATGGCTAAGAAACCATTATGCTTTAGATCAGTATTTCCAACCTTAACTATATTAAGAGGTGCAGACTTCAATTCCCAGAAACCCACCCACCCCAGCCAGAATGCTGGCTGGGGGATTTTGGGAGTTGAAGTCTGCACATTTTAAAATGGCCAAGGTTGAGAAATATTTCTTAGATTTTGATAAAAGGCTGCCAGTTTAGGCTGTAAGCACTAATGTATTACTGTGACCCAGAGTTTACTGGGATCATTGGCACTGACCTATGACTGTTTTTCACACTTATGACCATCGCAGCAGCTCCGTGGTCACATGATTAAAGTTCAGTTGCTTGGCAACTAATTCATATTTATGACAGTTGCAGTATCCTGAAGTCATGTGATCCCCTTTTGCGACCTTCCACAAGCAAAGTCAATGGGGAAGCCAGATTCACTTAACAGCCGTATTACTAACTTGAACAATTGCCGTGATTCACTTAACAACTGCAGCAAGAAAGATCATAAAATGAGGCAAAACTCACTTACCGTATTTTTCGGAGTATAAGACACACCTTTTTCCCCCTAAAAGGGGGTGAAAATTTAGGTGCATCTTATACACCAAATGTAGCCCCGTTCACCCACTGCCCCCCACTCTTTGCCCTCTGCCTCGCAGCAGTTACCTCCTTGCAAACAAACAGCAAGAAAAAACAGCTCCTTTCAGCTTCAGCACAGCCTAATTAGCACAAGTTGATTGGATCAGCCTCCCGACTCTCAGTTGATTTGCTCTCAGCTGTTTTGCGCAGGGCTCTGCTGTTTGCTGCAAAGAGGTAAATTGCTGGAGCAGATTATTTTTTGCCTTGTGCTAATCAAGCTATGCTGAAAAAGAAAATGAAAGTAAAGCAGGCTGTTTGCTGTTTGCTGTTTGCTGCAACGAGGCAAAATTGCTCAGAGGCAGAGGCAGAGAGAGATTTCTTTTTCTTCTTTTCCTCACCAAAAAAGGTAAGTGTGTCTTATACTCTGGTGCGTCTTATACTCTGAAAAATACGGTAACTTTCTTGTTTAGTAAGATAAATGTGGGGCTTAATTGTGCTTGTAAGCCAAGGACTACCTGTACGACCCTAATGTAGCCTACAAATTACGATTGTACATCATGACAGTTGTAAATCAGATCAATCATGTGACTGTGGCCTAGTCACAAAAATTTTACAATTTTTGTTTGCTGCTCTCATTAAGCAAACCCATTGCTCACCCATGGAATGGTTTTGGCCAAAACCAGAAATAAAGCAAAACCGTCATAAATCTCAAACAAGGATTGAGCATAATGCTCATTGCATCTCACTGTTGGAGAGGTTAATCAGTTGCACAGATTCCCAGTCCATTTCTGGAATCAATTCAAAGTCCTGGAACTCAGGTGTTTAAAGAAGCATCTATTTGTCTATGTCTGTCTATATTGTCTATATACTGTCAGCATACTATATACTGTCTATATAAACAATTACTATCAACCTGCCTTCCATTGAGGACCTGTATACTGCTCGAGTCAAAAAGAGGGCTGTGAAAATATTTACAGACCCCTCACATCCTGGACATAAATTGTTTCAACTCCTACCCTCAAAATGACGCTATAGAGCACTGCACACCAGAACAACTAGACACAAGGACAGTTTTTTCCTGAACGCCATCACTCTGCTAAACAAATAATTCCCTCAACACTGTCAAACTATTCACTAAGTCTGCACTACTATTAAACTTCTCATCGTTCCTATCACCCATCTCCTCCCACTTATGACTGTATGACTGTAATTTGTTGCTGGTATCCTTACGATTTATATAGACCCGTGATGGCGAACCTATGGCACGCGTGCCACAGGTGACATGTGTAACCATATCAGTGGGCATGCCAGCTCAGCTCTGGTGCGCATGTGCGCACCAGCCACCTGATTTTCGGGCCTTCTGGGCCCACCAGAAGTAGAGAAACAGGCTGTTTCCTGCCTCTGGAGAGCCTGGGGGTGGAGGGGAAGGCTCATTTTTCTTTCTCACCTGGCTCCAGATCCTCTCTATGCATCTGTGGAGGGCGAAAACAGCCTTCCCCACCCCCTCGTTTTTTGGTGTCCCCAGCCTCTAGAGCCTTTCTAGGAGTCTCTGGAGGTTGGGGGACAGCGAAAAATGTCACTTTCTGTGCAACTGGGAGTTGGGAAATGGGCCATTTCAGGCCTCCGGAGGACCTCCAAGGGGGTGGGGAAGGCTGTTTTCGCCCTCCACAGATGCATAGAGAGGATCTGGAGCCAGGTGAGAAAGAAAAACTGGTCTACCAGGCCATCGCGTGCCAGGATTAGGGGAGGGAGGGGGGTTGTGCGCGCATGAGCATGGCGAGGCGCATAGAATTATAGGTATGGGCACGAATGCGCGCGAACCACCTCCATCCCCCCCTTCCTGGCGTGATGGCAAAAAGGTTAGCCATCACTGATACAGATTGTTTCCTAATATGATTTGATTGCTTATTTGTACCCTATGACTATCATTAAGTGTTGTACCTTATGATTCTTGATTAATGTATCTTCTCTTTTTATGTACACTGAGAGCATATGCACCAAAGACAAATTCCTTGTGTGTCCAATCACACTTGGCCAATGAAGAATTCTATCTATCTATCTATCTATCTATCTATCTATCTATCTATCTATCTATCTATCTTCAGAAGTTAGTTTTCTTTGCATCCTGAAATCTTGAACCTGAGTGTGGCAAAAAGCACACTCTCAAGAAGGCTCCCCGAACTCAAATCAACATTTATGGAGGTTCTCAGTCATCCAGGTCATGGTTGTCTCAAAGGTGCTTTTTCCAAAAAAGGAAAGGCAACTGGAATTTCTTGGATTTTTTTTTTTTTTTTTTAGTTTTCGCTTCTCATCCAAGAAACTTCTTCAGTTTTTTAGGAGGGAAAACACAAGAAAGTCCAGTTGCCTTTTTGGAAAAAAAACACCTAAGGGAACTTGAGTTGCCATGGTCGAGTGGGTGGCAATATAAATTTTCTAAATAAATGAATAAACTTTGACATTGATCTTCTTGACTTTATCTTGGAGATATTTTGGCTTCACTGGAACAGCTTTTTTTTTAATGAAAAATAGGTTGTTTTTTTACCAGTAATTTGCTCTTGTTAATCTGGAGTCTTTGCTGTATTCTGACAGTTGATATTATGATGAAATTTTACTATACCGTATGATATTCTGAGAGTTACTTTGGTACACTGGCTAAAAAAATACTGGGTTAGAAACCTTGAAAGATGGGTAATAATAATTCTCTCTCAACCCCTAGGAAGAAGATGGCAACGACTTCTGAGGATCTTGCCAGAAGAACTGCAGGATTCGTGCAGGCATTAGCCAGGAGTCAGGATTGACTGGAAATGCTTTCTCTCTCTCTCCCTTTCCCTCTCTCCCTCCCTCCCTCCATCTCTCTC